TAAAAATTATTAAGACCTATGCAAAACAGAATGACATGAAGCACAGTATAGGCATTACAGAGCAACAGGACTAGGAATACGTTTTAAGAGATAACAGTATCTCCAAAATGGGGAGTAGGATTTTATGGGCAATGAATGTGTCTAGAAACATCTGGAGTTAGGAAGACAGGCTGTTGGCAGAAACTCAGATTGTGAGGCCCAGTACCTAGAAAGATGGAAATGTGCAGGATGTGGACTGAGAAACTGATAGAGAAGTTGTAAGGAGTAGCAGCAGCTAAAGAAGACTCCTGAGGGCCTTGCTTGGGAGCCGGCTCCAAACTATATTTACTCTGGTTCCTTTCTTCAGATTATTTTATAGAAGAAAGACATAGTTTTTATGTACTTACAATTTTCCTATTTACCCTTTATTTCAGGTAGATCTTTTGCGAGCAGGAGAAGTTCCTAAGCCTTTTCCTACACATTACAAAGATCTATGGGATAACAAACATGTCAAAATGCCTTGCTCTGAGCAAAACTTGTACCCTGTGGAAGATGAGGTGAGAACAAAACTGAAGTTCTTTTAGGCCCTGAAACATGGTGTAGCACTCTTTTTGACTTGATTCTGTGATACACAGTAATTTCAAGTAGCTTGATCTTGTTTCTCTTTCTCCTTTAAGAATGGTGAGAGAACTGCAGGGAGCCGGTGGGAGCTTATTCAGACTGCACTTCTCAACAAATTCACTCGACCTCAAAACCTGAAGGTGTGTTCTTTTTGCTATTTTTGTCTCTTATCTGTAACTCTTAGAGCTGATCCTTCTGTTTTCTCTCTCAGAGACATTTTCTGATCATAGACTCAAGCAGCAGCATTATTTATATGCAGAATGCTTCTTTTTGTCACTAGAAAGGCTCCTCAGATACTCTGGGTGATTGAGGCAGGTTAGCAAGTTTGAGTCCAACCTGGGCAACTTATGAAGTTAGTGAGAACTGTCCCAAAATCAAAATAAAAAGGTTTGAGGATATAGTTCAGTGCTAAGGCCCTGGGTTCAATCCCAAGTACCACGGAAGATGGAGAGATGGATGGATGGATGGATGGATGGATGGATGGATGGATGGATGGATGGATGGAAGAAAAGACTTTTTAGAGACATTCTAATATTCTTAGTTTTCACCCATTACTAGGAAATGACTAGAAGAATTGAGAGTTGTAAATGACTTGCCTGGAGCTGTATAAAATAATTTGGAGAACTAGAAATAAGACCTCTGTTTCTTGATTCCCTGTCCAATTTCCTTCAGTCTAAGCTTCTCTTATTTTTTGTTTAAAAATTATCATGTTTCTGAAATGTCTTTATGAGGAAATCAGGAAAGAATTATGACTCTAGCTATATGTGCCTAAAGGGAAGCAGAATTTGCTAATGATTAAAGTATACATTAAGTATTCTGCTTTTTATTGCTTTTAATATAGCTTCTAGCAATTTAATAATTTATTAATCTTAATGTATATTGGCAGTCATTTATTTTTACTTTTTTTTTGTATTTCATTTAAAACCATAAGGGCAACTCTTAGGTTGTTGTTATAGTACATAAAATATTTATGAATAGATACATTTTTTGTAGAGGGGAATGCTATAACTATAGAGATTTTTAACATGAAAGTATAAACAGTGATATAATTTTCTCATTTTCCATGAAAGTGAGTTTCATTTTCTTTTAGTGGCTTAATTTGTTACGGATATTTTCTCTGGTTTTATAGTATTGCCCGTTTATACTTAAGAGTTATTTTATACCTTTCACTAGCTCCTGATTTTTTCTTTTTTTTATATGAAAAATGTTAATGTGTTGTACACTAATGTATTTTTAGAAGTTCATTTATTTTAAATGTTTTTTTTTAAGTGGAAAAAAGTTATTAAGGTCTATTAGAACTTACTTTTTATGTTTTTAGTTTTTTATTTTTTTGTCCTTGAGACAGACTCTTGCCATGCAGTTCAGCTTGGCCTTGAGCTCACTTTCTAGCCTAGGCTGGTGGTGAACTCTCCGTGATTCTCCTGTCTTAGCTTCCCAACTGCTGGGATTACAGATATCTGCCTCCATGCCCAGCATAGAGCTTATTTATTTTGTAATATAAAGTTAGTTGCATAAAAGTACATGTAAACTCCTTATGTTCATGGTATTTATGCAGCTTTACTAATTTATTATTTTTCCATTTTAAGCATGATGGACCATCATTTGCTTTATGATCAGAATGAAAAATTATGATTAACATTCCATCTTTTGTATAGATATTTTTATAAACTATTGACCTTACCCCCCAAAATGGCATGCAGAAAATAAACAAATAAATAAATAAATAAATAAATACTATTTAAAGGTGGGGAGGATGTAGTTTGGTGAGAGTCCTTGTTAATAGAGCACAAAGTCTTCAGTGCATTTCAATCACAGGAAAGAAAAGAACAAAAGGGGGGAATACTGTGTTAACAAAAGCTATTTGTATTTACTCCTCTTATAAGCATGAACAGTCAGTATGTGCATAAATGGGGTATTCATGGAGATCGTCAGCTTGCCAGTAAATACACTAGACACCACTTTGATGCAGACTCTTTAGAAATTAACATACCTGTCCAGTAATGTATCTTAGGATAGCTTTGTATTTCCACCATTTTTATCTGCATAAAGTATCATTTGTCATTCCTACAGTGTTTCCTTTGTTTTCAAAAAACAAAACTGCAAAAAAAAAAAAAAAAAGGAAAAGAGAAACCCCTAAATATTCACAAACACAGAAGCAGCCCAGTTAAGAATGCTGTCTAGATCCTTTGGAGAAATAGTCTTACAGTTTTCTAAACAGGCTGGTTTTAAAATTGCTTGTGTTTTTCTTCAAGTAGTCTGCTCGTGTCTAGCAGTCCCTTAGTATGCCATGTTACCTTAGGAAGCAATAATTGCTTTAAATGAATTTCCTTTCTTATTTATCTTATGGTAGATACAACTAAACAGAATAATCCATTGAAATTTTCTTCTGCTTGTGATAATTGTCTCCATTGCTGAAAGAATGCTAGGAGAGAAGGAGAAAACATTAAATCTCTCTGACTGAGTATAATACTTTTTCCTGTTTTTGTACCAGTTCATGTTAAATTTAGAGGGATCCAAAAGGTTCAAAATTTTAAAAAAGAACGGTGTTCTCAAAATTAGTATTTCTGTAAGTAATGTGTCTGATAATTTATATGAGAAGGACTGTTTGTATTCATTATGCATTATGAACTAAAAAGAATATTCAGAGATGATAGCTAAGACTACAAAAGAGCATCCCCCCCTTTTTTTTTTCCTAATGATAGGCCTCATGATGAACTACTTCTGAGATTTGAAGACTGAAATAAAAACAAATACAATCAGTCCTCTGTATGTACAGGTTCCTTGTCTTTAAAAATGATTTGAAAATTTTGGAGGGAAAGAAATTGTGGCTGTAGTTGAATACAGACTTGTTTTTTTGTCATTAACCCTTAAAACACAGTATAACAACTATTTACATAACCTTTGAATTGAATTAGTTACTGTAAGTAATCTGAAGGAATTCAAACTATATGAGTGGATGTACATACACAAATGCTTTCCTGTCTTATATCAGGGACTTGAGCAGCCTCAGGTTGTGATATCCTGGGGGTAGGGAGTGAGCTTGAACCCATCCCTCACTGATAGAATGGGATAGCTATGTTAGGTGTTATTGCTAAGTATGAATTTCCGTTGAGGGCTAGAGTGCAAATGCTATGCAAATGTTTTTCTTCATTAACTTTGAGGAATAATTCATAAGAAAGTGCATGCTTTCAAAGTATGTAATTTTTTCATTTGCCTTTGGTAAAGGGTCCCATCACAATCAAGTTATTTATGGCACCTAAAGATTCCTCTCATTTTTTCGTAGTCAATTTCAGGTTTTACTCTGGTTTCAGTAACTTACCAGCTGTGTTTCACAGTATGTTTATAAATTATATTAATGAAATCTCAGTCTGTGTGTTTTAATATCTGACTTCTTTCATTCAGAATGAAGATTTTTGAAACCTACATATGTCATTGAATATATTAGTGTGTTGCCCCCATATGTACTTTGCTTATCTATTCATTTGCTAATGCACATAGCTATTTGTTACATTATATATGGTTTTATTATTTGTTACTTTATGCAATTTTGAATTCTGATATTCATGATAGAGAGAAAATCCATAAAATCTTTTAATTCATAACAAGTTTTATTTTATGACTTGTGAGTGAAAAATAAAAGCTTTTTGTGCCCTGTTATTCTATGGTTAATGTTAACTTTTCTGAAGGAAGTTGGATATCTCCTAATTCCAAGTGAATAAGAAACATTTTGTGGGATCAGGTATTAATTTAGGTGCTTGGTACTCGGTATTTTTAGGAAGCTGTTTGGCAGAATGTTAATTTTTTAAAAACTTTCTTAATGAAAAAATTTGAAAGGTTTATTGTAGTATTCTAGTATTTTTCAGACTTGTGTTTCAGTTTAAAAAGTTTTACTTAGTATTACCAGGTTTATATATTCTATGTATTTGTTACTTTATTGTTATATATAATAAAATATAAAAATAGATATTTAAGTGGATGAGATAAGACATAATTATAAATATTTCTTCCTGCACAATGAAGGGATTGCCTTATGCATGTCTAACTGGAAACTAAGTGTATAGCACTGGCTATTCAGACAGTTGAAAGTTACACCAGCAGATGGCATAATATTTTGACTTTTCATTCTCTGTAAATACATGATTTGTGTGAATTGCTAGTAAAAAAATAACTGGTTATATGGAGCTTGTAAAAGTAGCTGATAGTAAGGGTAAAGTTCGTTTTATACTTGAAAGCAGTATTTCTTAATGTTTCTTTCATCATTACCTTCTATCTCAGAAGCCTTTTAAAACATTTTCCCCTTACCGCATCCTCACCCCCCCCAACACAAAAATTCAGTACTACAAATAGAACATGTTTCTCTGTATGAGCATGTTGGTAATAATCCTTTTTGTGTCCATGGATCATTGTGGTCTCTTATTTTTCATCCTCCAAGAGTCAATTTTTGTCAACTTTGAATGTATCACCCCACTTAGATAGTATGCTTTAAGGTATTCATGGTTTTTCCCTCATCTCATTTTTCTTACATGAATTGTAAATTAATATGCATTCTATTTGTAGTTATTGATATGGGGCAGCTAATGGTACAAGGATGCTTGTCCAGCATTGAGAAATTTATGGAAGTAGTTCATAATAAAAACATGCTATTCATAGGTAATTCGCATGGCTGTATCATGAGATTTTATTTCTACTTTTTCCATAGGATGCTATTCTGAAATACAATGTGGCATATTCTAAGAAGTGGGATTTTACAGCCCTGGTTGATTTCTGTGATAAGGTAAAAGTATACTTATTTCTTTAGCTCTAAAATGATCCAACAACTCTGTAATTTGAGAAAGATATTTAGAATTCTTGTACACTGACAAAATTATCTTTTATTTTTATGGGTTTTCTATATTTTTTTCAGTGACTGTTTTAGATAGAGATAATTAGGATTTAATACAAATTTTTTTATTTTGATAATGTGTATTTTCTGTCATATTATCATACTGTTATTGACATTATTAACATATACGTGATATTCCATGACTAGATTTGACATTATTCCTTATAGACATATAAATTGTGTTCAAATTTATCCTATTGTAGTAACCTGTGTATGTGCATGTGTGGATACGTGCTTGTGTCTTTTTATATTTGATACTGTGTCTTTAGATGGTTCCCGAAAATTGGATGGCTAGGTAAAAGAACGCCAGATGTGTATAGCTGTGTATATATGCTATGAGATCATTTTGCATAGGGAATTGTAGCCCTCTGCCATGCTGCAAGTGATGAAAATACAACTTTTACACATCTACAGAATGGACGTTATCTATTTTGAAAAATGACAGCATACTTTTTTAACATTTATTTTGAAATAATTATAGGTTCACAAAAATTTGCCAAGAAATATATAGTGAGAAGGAGTCTTATCCACATCTCACTTTCCCCCAGTGTTGATCACTTGCATAACTTTATATAGTGTCAACACTAAGAAATTGACATAAGAGCTTACATAGATTTTACCAGCTTCCCATGCAGTTGTTTTGTGTTTCTGCATAGTCATATCTTATATTCCCCAATTCCATGTAACTGCCCCTCATCAAGAGTCACCCCATTGCCACATAGCTGGCTTGCTGCCCTCTGTAGCCAAACTGGCCCCTTCCTGACTCCTGATAGCCATGCAGCTCTCCGTCTGCTACCATTTCTTTTCCCAAAGGGTTGCAGTTTGTAGCCTTTTCAGATTGCCTTTTATCACTAAGCACAGTTGTCTTACACTCCTTATGATGTGTCAGGTTTTTTTTAATCCTTCATTGCTAAGCAGTATTCCGTACCATGTAAAGAGCATAAAGGTAGGCCTATCTAAAGGCATTTGGGTTATTGTGCTTTTTACTGTTTTAACTAATGTTGCTGTGAACTTTGTTTACAGTCTTCTGCATACAAATAGGTTTTTGCTTTATTTGTGTGTATGTGTGATAAATATCCAAGAGTGCATTTACTAAGTAAAAGTTGAGTAAGTTTATTTTTAGTTTTAGAAAAAACTGGGAAACTAACACTCCAAGAGCTGTACCAAGCAATAACAGTTTACTTAGTAACTAAGTCTCCCCTCCTACAAGGAAAAAAGACTCTCCTGTGTATTCTGTTTTAAAAATTATACA